GTTTGCACTGGAACCCTCCGATATAAACAACATTAGGCATTGTGGGCCGTGGGTACTCAAACACAAAGTCCACTCTCATCAGCCAAATGTCTGCATCGGTCATTAACTCATTAAAATCATAACCAGGCCCAAGATATTTGTCAGCTGTTTTCTGGTATACTAGTTTAAACGCCAGGCTGTTCTGTGTTTGAGTTATAATGTGTAAAACCATGTTTTTAACTCTCTGAAAAAAGGTCATCTCGACAGTATTGCCAGTTCCAGTCACAGGAATGTAAGATAATGGTGACGGGGCTATGGAAAAATGAGCCTCTGTACCTAATACCCAGCGAACATTATAAACCAAAGGAAGGTTCAAATATTTGGCTACAATGACTCCACCACCCCAGCAGGGGTCAGCAAGCAACAGGTCAAACTTGCTGTCTTTTAGTTTTCTTATTAAGTCATTGTCATCTAGTATTGCAGATACAAAATTAGCTACAGCTTTATGAAAATCAACAATTAAGCTGATCATCCCTCCACTCATTTGAAGAAAACTCATCAAGGGGAGGGCCCCTCGTTCAAATTGTATGGAGTCAGACACAAGTCTTGTGATGAACTTCTGATCCAAGAGATTCTCCACTAGAACTGTAATGGTATTATAGGATGAGTCATCTTTTATGTACCAGCTGTTGCTGGGACGTAAAACAGTGATGTTGTGTCCTCTGGAGTGTAAAGCTTTTAGTAGAATGTTCATGTTTACCCAGTGGCTGCCTTCAGAGGGAAAGACTAAAATGTTGCCTCCTTCACAGGCTGTGGGAATAAGGATGAGCAGCAGGAAAGCAGTACAGCAGCAGAACACCCTCATCTGAAAAAACACAAACAAAAAAGTTACCGGCATGACTTCTGTCACGAAATTAATATATTGTAATATGTTTCTTTCATTTTTTAGCAGTGGAAATGCACTGTTTTGATTTCAAATAGCGTCTTCTGGGTTTGTTTTCTTCTCTAATTCAGTTGCAATTTCATTCCATCGTAAAAGAGACAATATTACTTCCTCATTTTTCACCATTGTAAACTTCGAAAGTCAGTGTTCTTGACAAAAATGCATCGCATTAAAAATATTTATTGAGGATGACCAGTCGTTTAAACAGACTAACATTTACGGTGTTTCATAATTATCATTATTTTAATTAATGCGGTCTGTTAGTTATTAAGTTTAAATGTGATTCCCAGACTATCCGCGTTCTGAGCACCATTTTCCGCAAAGTTAACTTGTACATTTCAGCAACATTCCTCAACCGACATAAAGCCAGCCACATTCACCCAGGTTTTCTACTCACTGTGATCACTATCGTTTCTTTCACCTGGAAAGGCCACAGTGTTAAGAGGGCTGATTTGTATAGCGCAAAACCGAACTTGTGTCTAGCCAGCCTCCAATTCGAGACTTGCAGTCAAGCCAGCCTCCAGTTTGTTTTCTTTTCCCTGTGTATTCAAAGCAAGAGCGTAGATTTGGCATGTACGGAAGGTACATGTCCCCACCAATATCCAGCGATGATTGAATTGTCCCCAATAATTTGATCCCTTCGAGTAAATAAAAATAAAACCGATAGAAAGAAAAAAAAAACAAATCTGTCAACGTCTCATTCACCCAGCGGTGCAGAAAAAGTTAAATTACGCTCGCTACCAGTGTTGCCAACTCCTCAGTAAGGAAAATCGCTATTGGCTGTCCTAAAAGTCGCTAGAAGTCGCTAAATGACGTCATCGCCTAATTTGCATAATTGGTCATGCTAATCTAATTGTAACCTATGTTGTTGGAGAGAGAAATAACATCGTGGAAGAGACATAAAGTGAGTAAAAAACGTCCTAAATGCATTTAGAGTTTATTTAGAACTACAAATTAAATTTCTTTTAGCAATTATTGTTTTTTTAATGTCACAATTCCAACCCTGCTCCTTTACCCGGGCTTGGACCGGCAAAAGTGACCCTAAGTAGGCGCTCTGGTGGGGTTACTTTGTGTGTGTGTTTATAAGTAGTTTTAAACCCTGTGATCCACAAAACAGCATAAGAGTAAAAGGGTAAAAGAAGAACTGACTGCGTAACAGCACACGCTGCTTGTTGAGAGTAAAAGCGATACGCGTTTTCACGTCTTTTTTAGCGACTTTTTTTTAGAAAAAAGTTTTAAACCTTTTTTTTTTTAGAAAAAAGTCGCTTTTTTTGAAAAAAATCGCTAAAGGGTCTGAAAACTCGCTTAATATAGCGACAAAGTCGCTAAGTTGGCAACACTGCTCGCTACTGGAGTCCTACGTCACGTGACAAATATGGCCAATGTGATTGGCTGTGCCTTACAGGGAGCTCTGTTTAATTTTAGCAGCGGCAAGCCTGCGCAGTGTTACCAACTTTGTCGACTTTGTCGCTATATTTTGGGAGTTTTTAGACCCCTTTAGCGACTTTTTCTAAAAAGTGACTAGCGACAAATCTGGCGTCTTGGCACCTCACCCGTGCCAAGACGCACAGGCGGAGGATCCTTCCCCAGCTGCTATCAGGGCAGGGGACGTTAACACCTATGCGTCCAAACTGCAAATGAATCGCGCAGGAGCGAATCCGCTGCTCCTGCACTGACTGTAAGGCAGTCAGTTCTTCTTTTACCTTTATGCTGTTTTGTGGATCACAAGGTTTAAAACTACTTATAACCACACACTCACACACGCGGAAGTAAATAAAAGGGGGAAAAACAGCGGCCGACAGCGCTGTAAACAATGGTAGACTTGTGCGTAACAAGCAAGCGAATAATGCAGAAAACAGATTTTCAGATGGGAAAATGTTCTTGAAGTATACAGAGAAAGCGAGAGAGAGAGAGCTGTGCATGAAACGTGGTGGAAGCAAAACAGCAAAAGTCAGAGGGAATGTTTTTGTGAAGCGTAGTTTGGATCTTCTTTTGCTGCTGGTTCGGTCAATAACGTTTAGAGAGAGATAAAACTAACAGCTTTAGAATCACCGCAAAAAGGGCATAAAAACAAAGCACGGACCCGCCGAAAGATCGGAATCAGCGAGTTGTCGGCTTTCAGCCTCGACCGTGTCCATGTGGTCGGGTGAGAAAGGCGACATCTCACTGATTCTGATCCGTCGGCGGGTCCGAGCTTTGTGTTTACATCTTTGTGCAGAATCTGCAGTACCTGCTCTCATTTACTGTTTTAGCTGTTTGGTGGTTCTTGAAATTTTGTGAGGTTTAACCTGAGATTCTGGCGTTTCGGGCAAAATAAATTAATATTAAAAAAATCGATTCAGGATTTTAATGAATCAATATCACGTTATCCAAGCCAGAATCGATTTTAATCGATAACTCGATTATCAAAACCCACCCCTATTGGCAACACTGGACGGAGTTCACCGAAAACGGAAGAAGCACGAAACAAACAATAAAGATTAAAAACTGCAGTATTGAAAGTACAGACGGTGGCTACAATCGATACTTTTCATTGTTTTCAACATTCTGCTTCGGCTCTTTGTATGCTATAACTCTGCTCTTCTCCGTGTCTGACCGACGGATAAGCAATAGTATAAGCATGCGTAGCCCACACACCAGTTGTACCACATATTTTTGACACTGCTTCCAAGAACAATAAACCCTCTCTGCAGCTAAACAGGAAGCCCCAACTACCCGGGGACTAGAGCAGAGAGGCTCGGTGTTCTCCACAAAAACTCACAAAGCTTAAGAGTAGGCCACTAACTCCAGTCGCAATTTGAGCAGAGCTTTTACGTGGAGTAGCAAGGTTAAGTTAATTTCCCGTATATACAGTCACATTAACACAGAGCGTTTCTACTTACTGCTGGACGTTTGGTTTCTCCACACAAGAAATGTAAAGAGCCTGTTTTCCAGAGCGCCAATGAACGAAATCTGTTCAATTAATGTTGCTATGCAGGATAGAGAAGAACTGAATCACAATCCAGGATGCACGTTGAAGCCTGGAAGGCAGGAAGTAATAACTCTATCTGTGTTCAAAGGTGACGGGGATACTTGGAAAGCAAAGGTGTGTTTATGTACTCTGGATCAAAGTTAGTGCGTCATTTATGAATTAACTGAAACTGTACACGTTTTCATTTTCGCTGAATAAGGAATTAAATTCCAGTGTTTTGTCAGCACAGTCTGTAGCCGTTAATCCTTGCTGTCTTCAGATGCAGTGTTGGTGTGTTTTATGAAAAATAATCTACATAATCTGGAAAGATGTTTTTATACTTTACATGCTATTAAGCATTAGTTATGCAGATTCTTTTTGCTATGCATTTAAAGGTTTATATTGAAGCTGCATTTCTTAATGGATAAGTCATTCTGTATTCATTTTGTAATTTTGTTTGAATGATTCTTAATTCTTAGCTTTATATTTGTTTCTGTGTAATGTCATGTAAATGTTATGCGACCCTAATGAGGTTTGATCGTTTCTAAATTTGCAACCATTCTAAATTTATTGGTTTATAATATAT